CTTAGGAATTAATTTAGCCAATGAGGAGAAAGACTCCTCCAAATTCAATAAGACATTGATGAAATAAATTAAAGATACAAACAAATGGAAAAATACCCCATGCTTAAGGATTGAAAGAATGAATTTGTTAAAATGACCACACTACCAAAAGCAATCTAAAGATTCAGTGCAATACCTATGAAAATACCAATACCAGAGAAATACAAAAAGTAATCTGAAAATTTATATGAAACCACAAAAGAGTCTAATTAACCAAGGTAATACTGAGCAAAAAGAACACAGTTGGAAGCACTTTACTACCTGATTTCAAAATATACCACAAAGCTATAGTAACCAAAACAGCATAGTATTGGTATAAAAACAGACAGACCCAAAAATAAAGTCATGTATTTACATCCAATTGACTTTTGACAAAGGCACCAGGAACCTATTTCAGAGAAAGAATACCCTCTAATATGGAAAAACTGAATATCCATATGCAGAAAAATAAAACGAGACCTCTATCTCTCACCCTATGCAAAAGTCAACTCAAGCTAAAGTGTTTCAAATAAGAACCAGAACAATAAAAATACTAGAACAAACCATAGAGGAAACACCTCAGGACAGGCAAAAATTTTAAGGCCAAGACTGTAAAAGCACAGGTAGCAAAAATAAACAAAAATAGACAAATGGGAATATGTTAAACTAAAAACTTCTGCACAGCAAAGAAAACTATCAACAGAGTAAAAAGACCACCTGTAGAATAGGAGACAATATTACAATAATAAACTATTCATCAAACAAGGGAGTAACATCCAGGTCATAAAAGGAAGACTTTACCAAAAATATAAATATCCAGGTTATAAAAGGAGTTCAAAAGCCTCAAGAGAAAAAATAAATAACAATCCCATTAAAAACTGGGTAGAGCCGGGCTCGGTGGCTCAGCCTATAATTCCACGCCTTTGGGAGGCTGAGGTGAGTGGATTGCCTGAGCCTATGGGTTCGAGACCCGCCTGGGCAGCGAGACCTCATCTCTACAATAAATCAAAAAATCAGCCGGACATGGTAGCGCATGCCTGTAATTCCGGCTACTGGGAAGGCTGAGGCGGAAGGATCTCCGGAGCCCAGCAGGTCAAGGCTGTGGTGGCCGGGAGCGGCCACTGCACTCCAGTCTGGGCGACAGAATGAGATTCCAACTCAAAAAAAAAAAACTGGGTAGAGTATCTGAGTAGATATTCCTCCAAAGAAGACATGCAAAAAATGGCCAAAAGGTATATGAAAAAAAATGTGTAACATCACTAATTATCAGAGAAATACAAATAAAACCACAATTTGATATAATCTTATCCCACTTAGAATGAATATTATCAAAAAGACAAAAAATAACTTTCCTACAGCAGTGAAAATTAGTGTAGCCATTAAGGAAGACAGTACAGTGGTGTCTCGAAAAACTAAAAATAAACTTACCATAGGATCTGGCAATCACACTATTGGATATCTATCTAAAGAAAAGAAAATCAGTATATCTTCTCACCACATCCTCTCCAGTCATCAATTATTTTTTGAGTTATTGATGATGGCCATCATGACTGGAGTTAGGTGGTATCTTGGTGTGGTTTCAACTGGCATTTATTTGATGACTAGTGAAGCTGAGCTTTTTTCATGTATCTTTTGACTGCTCATATGACTTCTTTTGAGAAGTGTATATTCATATCTTTTGCCCACTTTGTGATGGGGCTGTTTTTCTGTCTTTGGCACATTTGAGTTCCTTGTGGGTTCTAGATGTTAGGCCTTTGTCAGATATACAGTTGGCAAATATTTTTTTCCCATTCTATGGGTTGTCTCCTTGCTCTCTTGAGGGTTTCTTTGGCTTTGCAGAAGCTTGTCAGTTTGATGAGGTCCCACTTGGCTATCTTACCTCTTATGGTATGGGCACTTGGGGTTTTGAACAGGAATTGGTTGCCAGTTCCAATTTCCATAAGAGTGTCTCCTGCATTTTCTAAGGTTCTTATAGTTTGAGGTTTTATGTTTAGGTCTTTGATCCATTTAAAGTTGATTTTTGTGTATGGTGGTAAGTAGGGATCTTGTTTTAATCTTCTACCTGTCCATCATCAATAACAAAAAACAACAGATGCTGGAGAGGATGCAGCAACATGGGAACATTTCCACACTGTTGGTGGGAGTATAAACTAGTACAGCCTCTGTGGAAAACAGTGTGGCGATCCCTAAAAGATCTAAAAATCAACCTCCCATACAACCACGCAATTCCTCTACCGGGAACATACCTGGAGGAACTCAAATCATTCTATGAAAAAGATACCGACTCATACATATTTATTGCAGCATTATTTACAATAGCAAAAACATGGAACCAACTGCGCTGGCCATTGAAAGAGGACTGGATTAAAAAATGTGACTTACATATACACAGTGGAATATTGTATATCTAACCCTGAATTGTACCCCACACGTTAAAAATAAAAAAATTTTTTCAATCCACCTCTCAAAGGAACACCCACACCTGTGTGTTTATTGTAGCACTATTCAGGAATTGAATAAACCTAAGTATCCCTGAATGAATGAATAGATAAAGAAAATGTGGTGTGTATATATGTAATTGAATACTCTTCAGCCATAAGAAAAAATGAGATGGGATATTATGCAGCCATAAAGAAAAACAAAATTATGAACTTTGCAGCAAACTGGATGGAATTAGAGTCTGTAAAACTCAGTGATTTTTCACACAAACAAAGATCTCGGTACCACATGTACTCACTCATAAATGGACCTTGAACATTTATCATAATACTATAAGAGATTGGCAGTAGTAGGATACTGCCAGAGGAGGGGGGACACATAACATCAATGAAGGTACCCACAGTTTACCTGTATGATGACCATGTATGTATCTAACCCTCACTTGGACCCCACATTTTAAAAATAAAATACAAGCCAAGCTCGGTGGCTCAGCCTGTAGTCCCATGCTTTGGGAGGCTGAGGTGAGTGGATTGCCTGAGCCTGTGGGTTTGAGACCTTCCTGGGCAACTTGGCGAGACCTCAAATCTACAATAAATCAGAAAAATTAGCCGGGCGTGGTAGCGCGCACCTGTAGTTCCAGCTACTTGGAAGGCTGAGGCGGAAGGATCGCCGGAGCCCAGCAGGTCGAGGCTGCGGTGGCTGGGAGCGACCACTGCACTCCAGTCTGGGCGACAGAGTGAGATGCCAACTCAAAAAAAAAAAGAAAAGAAAAAGAAAATACAACAATTTAAAAAGAAAAAATGAAATACTGTCACTTGCAGCAACATGCATGGAACTGGAGGTCATTGGGTTAAGTGATATAAGCCAGGCACAGAAAGATAATAAGTATTACGTGTTCTCTCTCATAGGTAGGAGCTCAAAAAGATGATCTCATAAATGAAGAGAGAAGAAAGATAGTTACCAGAGGCTGGAAAGGGTTGGGGAAGGGGAACGAGAAGAGGTTGATAATTGGTACAAATATACTGTTAGACAGAAAGAATAAGCTCTACTGTTCAATATCACTGTGGGGTGACTATGATTATCAACCTATCCACAGTCAATATATTGTGAATCTCAGAATAACTGGAGGAGATTTGAAATGTTACCTGCACAAAGGAATGGTGAATGTTTGATGTAATGAATACCCTAAATATCCTGATTTGATCATTACACATTGCATCCATGTATCAGAATATCACACGCACCCCATAAATATGTACAAACACTATGTATCAATAAAATTTTTTTAAAAGATTATACTAGTTTACCCTAATCAAGAAACTGAGTAAGTCCCATCACAGTTTTCTGAAATTCTACATATTATTTTGTAAAGGAGATTTCAACCCTTTTCAGTCCTTTTATTCAATTATGGCAAAAAATAAGACATGATAGACAATTCTTTGAAAAGATTAATCATATGCAAAATATTTAACCACCCCTAAACTTAAGTATTCTTTCTCTGATAACATCAAATAAATGAAATAACATTAAATTGGCAGCTTGAGTGTGTAGAGACCAAGGGCTTTCCCTTTGTGCTGTTTACATTAAATCATGTTAGAATGGTTTTGGCCACAAGTAACAGAAATCCAACTTACAATTACTCAAATAACCTGGCATGTCAACTAGGAGGTATATACCTAAGAGACATGAAAAAATATGACCATGCAAATGCTTGTGCATGAATATTTATGATAGTCAAAATTGGAATCAACACAAAAGTCCATCTACTATTGAATAAATAGGCAATATGTGGAATATCTATACAATAAAATATTACTTATTCATTTAAAAAAACAACAAAGTACTGATGCATGCTACAAATGGATTAACTTTTAAAAACATTATAGTACATGAAAGAAGCCAGACACAAAATGACAGTTTATTATATAATTCCATCTATATGAAATATCCACATTAGGCAATTTCATCAAGACCGAAATTCGTGGCTTTTAGGGATTGTATGAATGAGAGGATCGGAAGGAGTTCAAAACAAAAGTCACTAGCATCCTTAACTTCCTAATTCTGCTAGAATTCTAGAGAGAGCTCATGAGAAAAATTGAAAAGAATGCTGAATTAAGAGATAAAAGAATGTATATATCCTAGAGACACTTTCTCCTTTCCTTCCACCTCAGTTTCCTCACATGCCCATGGAGGCGATAATTTAGGGGACTTTAAGACTTTAGAGACAATAGGTATACAAGGAAAAACACTTTCAGAAAGACAAGAAGTTATTTAGTATTCACAGACAAGGGTAAGTTGTTCAGTATCAATGATACTCAGAGAAAATGCAAGAGTGACCTTAAATTCTCCATTTCAAATACTTCCTCTCTCCTTTATAGGCCGTCCTTTTCCCTGAGGTGTCTCTGAATGACAGCCTCCTTCTAACTGCCAGTAAAAAATGAGAAACCTGGTTACATGGAATTCAATTCTTTGGGGTGCCAATTAGAGGTAGGGTTCAGTACATTTAGGTTAATAATTGAATTTCATTTTGTTTCTCTTTCCAGGGTGTTTGGAATTCTGACATAGAATGTTATAAAAAGTATGGGAAAGTGTGGGGGTGAGTATTCTGGAAACTTCCATTGCATAGACTTGCTGCTATGGCAAGGCATCCTGATGCAAGGAGAACAATCTCAGCCCAGAGCCTCTGAGGATCAGGCTATCTCTTCCAGAGCTTGTGGAGACTTGGACTACTAAGATTCCCATATGTCACAGGTGTCGAGGTCTGCAGTCTGAATTCAGCTGAGAACATTGCATAGCTTCACTTTTCACCAGACTTCAGTGGAGCAGAGACTTCTAGAATTACTTTCGGGTCAATGTCTGTCTATTCCCCTCTTCTCCGTTTGTCTTTCCATAGGTCCCCTTTAATTGTGTGACATGCGTTATCTAAAATGTTCTTCCCACATCGATTCACTTTTATGTCAGAGCCAAAACTCTTTCATTTAAATTTTGGATTTAACATTTGCTTTTAAAAGAAGTGCTGGGAGATAGAGATAAACAGATTGGGAAACCATGTATCCTTCCATTTTAAAAAACTTATCTGCAAGTGTGGAGTTTTTTGTTTTGTTTGGATGTTAAATTCGAGCTGAGATTTTTCAATAGAAGGGTAGGTGAGTATTACTTGTCTACTGCCGTCTGCTGACTTTGCAAACGAGATGGAGGATATCCTTAAACCACTATGCTCCCTGGTGGACTGATGGGCATTATGATTTTGTAGGGTGGCCTCAGTCAATTGCAGCAGCTGTTCCTTTTCAGAGGGGCTGGAGCTTTGGTGAGAGCCACAGAAGAGGTGCAACCGGTGTTTATATGCTAAAAGCAAGTGAGAGAAGTCTTTGCCTCCCCATACCTCTTCGCCTTCTCTCATCAAGTCCTCAGAAACCACAGCACTGGCTGCAGGGTTCTGCTGAGTTAACATGGCCCAAAAAGACTACGTGCCTGAGTATACACACAGTCCCGGATCTTCATGAGCCCGACTCCATCTACCCCTTAAAACACTTAGTCCTGGGGAGTGCTTGAGAATGTACTTGCTTTCCATTGTTCACTGACCTAATAGGCTATCTGATGAAATATTTTAAGCATGCAAAAATTATGGAGAATGGTATAGGAAATACCCAGGTATGCTGAGTATTGCACAACTAAGAGTATGAATTATAAAATGTCAGAATCAAAGCCTGGGATTCCTGGATATGGCTCCAGCTGAAGAATCAGGCTCCTGAGATATATTATCACCTCTGTTTTCCAACATACAGGTTGTACGATGGTCCACTGCCTGTGTTGGCTATCATGGATCACGACATGATCAAAACAGTGTTAGTGAAAGAATTTTATTCTGTTTTCACAAACCGGAGGGTAGGTATTTATTGGGAAAACTTTTATTTATTTAGTTAGTTAGTTAGTTAGTTAGCATTTTGAAATCATTATATAGTCACAGAAAGCTGCCCCAAAAATGTACAGGGAGGTAATGTCCACTTCATCCTGTTTCCCCCACTGGTGACATCTTACAAAACTATTTAGTATATTCCTGTCACTCTAGTAACAGAAAATTAGCATAGATACAGCCCAAAGAGCTTATCAGATTTCCCGTCTTATGTGCCCTCAATTTTTAGCAAAAGTGTGTGTGTGTGTGTGTGTGTGTGTGTGTGTGTATGTGTGTCGTTCTATGCAAATTTATCCCATGTGTAGATTTGTAGAAAGACCAGTACAATTAAAATACAGAACTGTTCCATCACCATGGCACTCCCTCCTGCTGTCCTTCTGTCTTTTCCTCTTAACAGCGTCTATATCAGAGCAAACTTTTTTGGTTTGAGGAGATCAACTTATCATTGGTTTCTTTTATGGATTGTGCTTTTGCTTTCGAGACAAAAAGGTATTCCCTTAGCATTCTTTGTTGTTGTTTTTCAAAGTCGTGTAGCTTATTGCTTTACATTTAAGTCTATGATCCACTTTCTGTTCATTAAAGTATAAGGTACGAGGATTAGGGAAAGGCTCATTTTTGGGGGGACTGTGGCCATCCGGTTGCTCCAACACCATTTTTGGAAAGGCTATCCTCCCTCCATTGAATTGCTTTATTTACTTACCATTATCACTTACCATTTACCACTGCAAAAGTCAGTTGGCCCTATTCACATGCATCTATTTCTTATTCTCTGCTCTGTTCCCTGGATCATGGTATCAGTTCCTCTACCAATACAACACTGTCTTCACTAAAGTAGCTGTATTGTGAGTGAGTGATGCCTCCCACTTTATTCTATTTTCAGAAGTTTTTTTGTTTGTTTGCTTTTTTGAGTTGAAGTCTCACTCTGTCACCCAGGCTGAAGTGCAGTGGCCGCTCCCGTCCACGGCAGCCTCGACCTGCTGGGCTCCGGAGATCCTTCTGCCTCAGCCTTCTGAGTAGCTGGAACTACAGGCATGCGCTACCATGCCGGGCTAATTTTTTATTTATTGTAGAGATGAGGTCTTGCCAAGTTGCCCAGGCGGGTCTCGAACCCGCGGGCTCAGGCAATTCACTCACCTTGGCCTCCCAAAGCTCAGGATTACAGGCTGAGCCACCGAGCCCGGCCCTATTTTCAGAAGTTTTAAAGTTAATCTTAATCTTTTGCCTTTTCCTACAAATTTAAAATAATCTTGTCAATATCTACAAACAAATTTGCTGATATTTTGATAATTATTGAATTAAACCTATAGACCAATTCTAGGAAAAATCGGTATCCTTATACTATTGAGTCCTTCAGTCTATGAGCACACCATGACTCTCCATTTATTTAACTATTTTTCCTTTCCTTCAACATTGGGTAGTTTTCAGCATAGAGATTCAATACATTTTTAAAAGATTTATCCTTAAAGTATTTTGTTAGCATTGGAATAATTATAAATGGGACTGTGTTTTTATGGTGTTTTCACTGCTGTTATGTAGAAATATGATTCTACACTGAGATACCACCTAACTCCAGTCAGAATGGCAATTATCAACAACTCAAAAAATAACAGCTGCTGGAGAGGGTGTGGTGAAAAGGGAACACTTCTACACTGTTGGTGGGAGTGTAAACTAGTGCAACCTCTGTGGAAAGCAGTGTGGCGATTCCTAAAAGCTCTAAAAATTGACCTTCCATATGACCCTGCAATCCCCCTACTGGGAATATACCCTGAAGAACACAAATCACTCTATAAAAAAGATACCTGCACACGTATGTTTATCGCAGCATTGTTCACAATAGCAAGAACCTGGAAACAACCATGCTGCCCATCAAAAGAGGACTGGATTAAAAAAATGTGGTACGTATACACGATGGAATACTACGCAGCCATAAAAAAGAACAAAATCATGAATTTCGCTGCAACCTGGATGGAACTAGAGTCTATAATACTGAGTGACCTCTCACAGAAACAAAGATCCGAATATCACATGTTGTCACTCATATAAAGGACCTTGAACATCCAATGCAATACTATAAGAAAATGACTGACCGTACTGGGAAACTATGGGGGAGAGGGGATGGGATTAACAGTAGCAAATATCTGTCGGGGGATGAGAAAACACCTCTTACCAACAGGGTGCCTGAATGAAACGTAATTGTACACCTAACCCTTAACTGTACCCCACAAAACCATAATAAAAAATACGGATTAATGAAAAAAAAAAGAAATATGATTGAGGGACTTTTTCTTCTTCATTATGAAAATTTTTATTTTATTTTTCTTACTTTGTGTATTATGGATACAAATGCAATTTTGTTACACTGATATCATTCATTGTGGTTAAGTCGGGGCCTTCAGAGCACACATCACTGAAGCACACACACTGTACCCAACAAGCAACCTCCCATCATCCACCGCCCTTTTTTTAGTGTGCTGACCTTGTGTCTTAAAATCTTAAACTCAGGCAACCTCCTCAGGTCTCCCCCCACTGTGGGAGCTTTTCTGTTCTCTCAATAAATCCACTTTCACAAACACACACCCTTGAACTCACTTATTAATTCTAGAAATTTTTCATATAATGCTTAAGACTGCCTACATTGATAATTATGTCACCTGAAAATAAAGACCCTTCTATTTTTTCCTTTCCAATCTGTGTGTCTTTTATATATATTTTTCTTTTCTGCGGCACTAGGACTTCAAGTATGATGTTGAATAAAAGTGGTGAGAGTGGACATTTTTTAATTGTTCCTGATCTTGGGGGAAAGCACTCAAGCTTTCACCATTAAGTGTGATTTTTTTAGCTAGAAGTTTTTTGTTTTTGTTTTTGTAGATTCTCTTTATCAAACTGAGAAACTTTCCCTTTCCTCCAAGTTTGCTGAGTTTTCATTATAAAGGAGTGCTGGCAGTATTCATTTTAAAACAAAATACAGTTTTAGAAAATGAAAAAAAAGGATCAAACATGTTGGCTTCATAGACCAGTCCCAAGTTGGGAAATAAAATTCTTTCTTTATTTTTTCTCAGACCCCTGAAGAAAAATTAAAAGAAAAGGACTTTCGTGTAACTGCATTATTTCTTCAAAAAAGAGTCCTAATATTTTAAGTATTACAGTTTTTTAAATCACCACATTAAGGCATCCTGTTTTCAAGTTGCTCACCATTTAGGTGTATGTAAAGACAGAACTGGCCTGCGGCAGCATGCAGGTGGCCAAGACTACCTACCTGTTACCAATCCCTTGCTATTCTGCACAGCCTTGGAAGAAGTGTTAGGGTCTATCCTACCTATTTCACTGGAATAACAAGTCCCAGGTTCCCTGCCACATGAAGTATTTGTATTTACAAAGAGATGGAATATAGAGGCTGGAAACCATACCAGGTGGCCGAGTATAGTCCATTCACTCAGAAGAGGACAGGCATCGGTGATAAACCTTTATTGAGCATCTAGCTTAAAGCCTGTGACTTAGTAGACAGTCACTCAATATTTGTTAAATAAGTGGTGCCTATGTAACACATTTTCTACAACTGCGGAGACTTCCAAAATGTTTTTGCTTTGGACTCTAGCCTTTAGGTCCTGTGGGATTTATGAAAAGTGCCATTTCCATATCTGAGGATGAAGAATGGAGGAGAATACGATCGTTGCTGTCTCCAGCTTTCACCAGCAGAAAGCTGAAGGAGGTAAGAAAACAGGGCGACTTACGATTAGAAACTTGGAGATTAACTGGGAGACATTCTAGTCCCTTTAAAAGGTGACGTCCACTGTATCTGAACTTCCTAAAAGTGGTTTTTTTATCTTTATGTGCAGAAAAAAATTTTTAAATGCATCATAAAATGCCACTGACTGCTCTGTGCTTGAGAAAGCCACATTCTTCTGGGACTTGAGTCTGCACATCTAACCACTAGTGGTGTTGTGTTGTATGCTTAGATGCTCCCCATAATTGCCCGGTATGGAGAAGTGTTGGTGAACAACCTAAGGAGGGAAGCAGAGAAAGACAAGCCAGTCACCTTGAAGGAGTAAGTAGGAGCACATCATGGGGTTTTGAGCTGTCATGAGACCCTCCAGCTGCCTACCGTGGAGCTGACATGTCTACTGTTGAGGTACTCTAGTGACCAGACAAAATCAGGCGTTAAGGTTTTGCAATTCCAATGGGCCACACAGGAAGGGGGTGGCTTTCAGGATAAGGCAGGGCTGTCAGAGGGAACAGGGTCTTCTCCCCAGGGCACAGGACCAAGGTTTACTTAACTGATTGTCTGTCACCTTAGATATTCTGAAAGACAAAATGCGTAGTTTAGAAAGATAAAAACATGATCCAGCCAATGCTTTGAACATAGAGAATGTGGAATATTGGTAGGGGAAGGCACTTGGTGGAAGTTGGCTTGCATTACGTGTAGTGGGAAAGTTACAATGGGGAACTTGGAATAACTTCAATCTCTCCATGGTTTTGGTGAAAATTCCACCAAAATGTGAAACGTTAAACCTTCCTACCCTTCTCCTTCCTCCAATCTCAAAAGAAAAAGGGCCCCAGAAAGGCTATGTTTAGAGAACCCCTATTGTTTACTGTCTAAACTGAGGTATGTTTGAATTTATGCAGAATTCACAAGTGTACATGGAGCCTGTCCTGAGCAAACTGGGGACACGTGGACACTTAGCTACGGGGTCGCCCAAATCAACTTTGGAATGAAGTACTTTTTTAACTAGGAAATTTTTTGGCTTCACACTTTGCAAAAATGATCTGCAACCTCAGATCACAGGAGTTGGGGAAATGTGGTCTTTTTGGAGCCTTAGCAGGAAGTGTAGAGGGTAAGGGATAATGTTTCTGACAACTCAAAGAAGCAGGTTGCCATTCTGTAAGGTGCTGAAGAAGTATCAACTCTAGGCATTAACTCTGGTGAGGCAACATCATTTTTCTAAAGTCCCCAAGAAGAGTTGATTATTTCACTATTATTCTACTGAAACACAATCTGGCACATCTTTTCTCATCCATACTCACACAGTGCTGCCATTTGTCTGATTATGGGACTCTGTCTCTCTATGACTAAGTTCCTTGAGCTCAGAGATGGGTCTAACTCACTTTGGTGTCTCCTTCACCCTCAGGGGAAGATACTGGTACCCAATAACCACCTCAGGAGTGAGTGTGATGGGAGATGACCCAACGGATAGTTCTGAAAGTGCATGCTCTTTACCTTTCTCAGGAACATGGATCTACACATTTTTTGCTGCATGTGTTGCAGAAAAATGGTAATGAGGTGCTGGCATTAATTTTCCATGTTTTTCTATACTCAGCATCTTTGGGGCCTACACCATGTATGTGATTATTGGAACATCATTTGGAGTGAACATTGATTCCCTCAACAACCCACAAGATCCCTTTGTGAAAAATGTCAAGAGGCTCTTAAAATTTGATTTCCTCGATCCATTTTTTCTCTTGATCGGTATGCAGAGTACTATATTGTTCGCTCTCTCCTCTCTCTCTCTCTCTCTCTCTCAAAACAAAATAAAAATAAAAGCTTTATCGACAAGACAAAATCATGGATGTGGTATTGCAATTCCAGGAGACCACACAAGAGGAGGTGGCGTTCAGGATAGGGCAGGGCAGCCAGAAGGAAAAGGGTCTTCTCCCCAGGGCACAGGACCAAGAGTTACTTAACTGGTCATTTGTCACCTTAGAAATTCTGAAAGACAAGAGACATAGTTTAGAAAGACAAAAACTGATCAAACCAATGTTTTGAGCATAGAGAATATGGAATGGAATTTGTATTTGAACACCTGTTTCAGTTCTTTTGAACATATATTCAGGAGTGAAGATTTGGGCTCTGTGGGAACTCTGTGTCACTTGTTAAAGAACTGCCAAACTGTTTTTCACAGTAGCTGCACCATTATACATTCCCACTAAAAATGTATGAGGGTTACACTTTCTCTACTTTCTTGTCACACTTTGTTTTCCCATCACTTTATTATATACAGCCCAGAGGGTGTGAAGTGGTTGCTCATTGTGGCTTTGATTTGCATTTCCCTCATGGCTAATAATGTTGAGCAACATTGGCTGTTTTCATATCTATTTTAGTCCTTTGTCCGTATTTACTTCTTATTGCGAGTTGGAGAAATTCTTTATGTATTCTAGATACTAGCCCCTCATCAGAAATGTAATCTACAGAAATTTTTCTATTTTTAGATGCTTTTCAACTTTCTTTACAGTGTTCTTTGAAGCACAAAATTTTTAATTTTGATGATGTACGATTTAGATATTTTTCTTTTATTGCCTGTGCTTTGGGTATCAAATCTAAGAATCTACTGCAAAAAAAGAAAAGAAAAGAAAATCTACTGCCAAATCCGAGATCATGGAGATTTACCCACTAGAAGCTGCCAGGGTGGGGAGGGCACACCTCATCAACAAGGGTAACTGCATAAGGAACATTTGTATACCTAACCCTGAATTGCACCCCACATCTTTAAAATAAAAAACTTTTAAAAAAAGATTTTCTTCTCAGACTTTAGATCTTAGAATATGTTTAGGATTTTTTTTAATCCATTTTGTGTTATATACAGTTATATACAGTGTAAGGTAAGGGCAACTTTATTCTTTTGTATGTGGCTATCCAGTTGTTTAAAGGACTAATTTTTCTCCATTCAGTGATCATAACACTTTTCTCAGAATTCAGTGGATTAAATACACGTGTTTATTTCTGAACTCTAAATTTCATTCCATTGACTATCATGTAAGTCCATCCTTATGCCAGTGCTACATTGTCTTGATTACTAGAGCTTCGTGAGTTTTGAAATTGAGAAATGTGAGCCCTACAATTTTATGTTTCCTTTTTTAAGGTTGTTTTGGCTATTCTGGGTTCCTTGAAAATCCATATAAATTATAAAATCAATCTGTCAGGTTTTACAACGAAGCCAGCTAGTATTCTGATTTTTTTAAATGCATTAAATCTGCAGATCAATTTGAAGTGTGTTACCATTTGACAATATTGTTTTCAGATCCATAAACATGGAATTTTTTTCATTTATCCATATCCTCTTTAAATTATTTCCACAATGTTTTATAGTCTTCAGAGTATTTGTTTTACATTTTTGTTAAGTTTAGCCCTATGTGTTTAATTCTTTGTGATGCTATGGTAAATTTAATTTTTTATATTTTACTTATGGATTGTTGCAATGTATAGAAATACAATTTAATTTGCGCATACTGATTTTGTATCCTGAACCAATTCTGTACTTGTTGATTAGATCTCATAAGTGACTGAAGTCATAAGAGAGGTATCCTTTTCTCATTCCTAATCTTAAGGGGAAAGCTAATAAGCCATTAAGTATGGTGTTAACTATGGATTTCTTATAGATACCTTTTATCAGGTTAAGGAAATTCTCTTCAATTCCTAGTTTATTGACTGTTCTTATCACAAAAGCATGTTGGATTTTGTCAAGTGCTTTCTCTGCATCTAATGAGGGGATTGTGTTATTTGGTTTTGATTTGTGTGGTGTACTGCATAATCTTTAATACCTGGGGTAACCCCACTTGGGTTTGGTATATAATTTGTTTCATATGTTGCTGGATTTAGTTTGCTAATATTTTGTTGAGAAAATGTTTATTCATATTTATAAGGCATATTAGTCTGTAGTTTTCTTTTTCTCTGATATCTGTGCCTAGTTAATATGAAGCACAAGTCTGAATGTCTTACAGAATTTGGAAGTGTTTCCTAATCTTTTATCTTTTGAAAGTGTTTGTGAAAAATTGGTATTAATTCTTCTTTTAATATCTGGTAGAATTCACCATTGAAACAATCTGGGCATGAACTTTCCTTGTGGGTAGTTTTTTATTCATTCTTCCGTCGCTTTATATGTTATAGGTTTATTCAAATTCCTATTTCTTTATGAGTCATTTTCTGTTGTTTGTGTCTTCCTAGGAATTTGTCCATTTCAATTGTTATCTAATTTATACAATTGTTCTAATAACACAATTTTTGCTAGAATTTCACTTTTTCTTTTTAGATGTCAATAGTAATTTCCCCTCTCATTTCTGAAGCTAACAATTTATCTCTTTTTAATGGTCAATCTAACTAAAGAGCTGCCAATTTTGATGATATTTTCAAAGAATGAGCTTTTGATTTTATTGATTTTTCTCTATTTTATTTTACCTTCTATGTCATTAAGCTTCACTTTAGTCTGTATTATTTTCTTCCTTCTGCTTGCTTTAAGTTTCATATACTCTTTTTTTCAGTGTTTTATAGCATAAAAGTAGGATGATTGGTTTGACATCTTTCTTTCTTTTAACTTAGACATTATAATAATAAATTTCCCTCTGAACATTGCTTTTACTACATCTCATGTGTTCTGGCATATCGTGTCTTCACTTTTGTTCATTGCAAAACAATTTCTGCTTTCCCTTTTGATTTTTTCTTTAACTTTCTGGTTACTTAAAAGTGTATTGTTCAATTTCCACATATTTCTGAGTTGCCCAATTTTTTTCTGTTAGTGATTTCTAGCTTTATTCCATGGTAGTTAAAGAACATATGCTGTGTTATTTCTATCCTGACACCTATTCTGTGAATAGCATGATTAATTAAAGCAGCAGACCATGATCTTGTTTTTCCAAAGAGATTTTAGTACAATAGATTTTTTAAAATGAAGAGACCAGATAATCCAATCCTGTTTCCTTGATCACTCCAAGATGCAGAAGGAGCCACTGATCACACTGCTATAGTGTGTGGACATGCCCTTGCTCAGCTATGAGTCTAGAGGGTGAACAAAGGTCATAAAGGAAATGTCTGCGACTCTGCCCAGAAGTCTGTTACTCTTCTGATTAGGAGGGAAAATTACAATTCCTTTCGGTAAATGTTGTATTTTTACCATGGTTTTCTTCTTTTTTTCCCCTATAGTATTCCTTCCATTTCTTACTCCAATTTTTGAGGCATTAAACATCTCTCGCTTTCCAAAAGATGCTACAAATTTTTTTAAACAAGCCATAGAAAAGATAAAAGAAAGTTGCCTCAGTGATAAACAAAAGGTAAAATCTGGTGGTGGCTACATAAGGGTGCTTTTTTGTTTTATGATTTGTTGTTGTTATAAATTATATATATATATTTATATATATATATATATAATTTATTGAGACACACACACACAAACACACACACATACACACACACGAGACCTGTGCAATTCTCTATATTTATTTACTGGAAAAACTTCAGGTTAGTTGAAAACAGGAGTTTTTTTACATTTTAGGGGAATAAATAAGGTGGGGGCTGGGAAAGGAGATATGAGAATGAGTGAGAGACACAGCATTTAAAATTTATTAACCGGCACGACAATTAGTATGTCACGGCATAAATATTATTGAGATGAACATTTCACCACTTCCCTTCCCTTTGTCCCTTTAATAAATTGTCGAAGGATAAAAATTACTGCAGAAAAATTATTTTACTGATATTATAATTCCTCCAGATCATAGATGGGGAAAGAAGACTTTCAAACCCAAGCCTGTTATTTTACCCATTCTCCAACGAAAGGCCCTATCAGGCCACCTGCTAGAGTGTAAAATATATTAAATTTCAGCATTCTCGTGACCTTGAGTGGGCACGGGCATTCTCTGATCATTGAGGCTACAAGTGGGCTCCTCAGATTTGTCTCCAGGAGACCGAAAGGCCAGCCCAAGGACATCTGCAGGTGAGGGCGGCAGGCCTGGGTGACCAGATGTCACTGGCGATGAAATGGAATTCCGGGAGGTTAGAGTACTTGAAAATGCTTGCACAGAAGCTGCTAATAAACTATGAACGTATCAAGAGATTAATCCACGTGGCCACTGGTTAAGAATTAAAACAGAACAAGGAAGACTGAAATTCAGGACTTCTTCCTGAGCAAGCAGGTCTAACTGGAGAAGAGGCCATCAATTCTTTGGCCCCAAAGCTGTGCTCTAAAGCCAGAGAAGTTGAGGATCAGGGATGCAAAGATCAAAAAACAGTTGGACACAATAGCTGGCTTGCTCTCAGAAAAACATCCTGCTGGTAAAGGTTTCTGATGGACAGTTTCATTCACTGATGTCTCAGGCAACACCTGTCAGACTTCTAGACTAAAAGGGAGTATATGTTCAGAATGGAGGTTGAGGGCTGCACTCCAGCTTATGACTTCACGGGGGATTTCATGTCATTGACATTTCACTTTTTACTTCCAGCACTGAGTAGATTTCCTTCAGCTGCTGATGGACACCCAGAATTCCAAAGAAACAGAATCCTGTAAAGGTAACCAAGGAGTTTTTCTGGGGGCTACTGATGGGTAAGATAAGAGGGAGGGGCTTGTTCTGGAAATACGCAGGAAGCTTTCCATGAAGATAAGAATTTCTGTCTTTGCACATTGCAGAATGGCATGTGTTTGGACCTTATAAATGGCAGCTGGAGGTTCTCTCTAGAAGCAACATAGGCGTGGTCATATTCACAGCTTGACACGCCACCCTAAGCAAGCGTGTCATGACTGGAAATCAGTCGGTGGTCTGATTGATCGCCGACAGCAGAAAAAATGCTGAATCTCATCCTCCTCCTGATCCACTAGCTCAGAACCTCTGCCTCAGATGTCAAACTGGAAGACACACTGTCCCCAAAATGGTGATTTTAACTGGAAATACTTGTTGAAAGTGTGTTCACTAACTTAATCTACTGTAAAGTTTTATTTTTTTGTTTGCAGTTAATAAGCAATTTGGGAGAGAAGACTTTAAAATGTGTAAATATCCTCTTCTTGTTTAATCGTTCACCTACTAGTTTTTTCATCCACCAATGGTATTTGACTGAGGCCATTATTGCTACGATGATTGCAAAATAATGATTTTCTAGTTACATCATTCCTTCACATTTATGGGTTGGCATTTCATTTTAAGGGAGAGTGCTCCATTCTTCCCTATTCATTCATTTATTTATTCCAGTGGGATCTTATATATCAGCAATTTACTCTCCTATTATTATTATTTATTTTGATCAAATTTTTTCAGGTTCGAATGAGTTCCTGGGTCCTTTCTTCTTCTTCTGTTTATTTTTTTACAACAGACATTATTTATTTGAATAGTTTCGGTCTCATAGAAATATTTAGCCGAATATATTAGTGGTTTTCCATATGCTCTCTTCCCCTATATACACACAACCTCTCCCACTATCAACTTCTCCCACCAGAGTGGTACATTTGTTGCTACTGATGAATCTACATTTATGCATTAGTATCACACAAACTCCATAGTTTGCATTAGGGCTTATCCTTGGTATTGTGCAATATATGAGTTTTAGAAATATATAATGACATGCATTCACCATTATAACAACATATAGGGTATCCTGTATCCTTTTGCTTATCGTTTTCTTGAGCACTTTCTTGCTTTCAGGTGCAAGATATTCCAAGTTTCTCTTCTGTTTTCTCTGACCATGCATAAACTCATCCATATTTCCAAAGAGCTCTACTCTTAGTGAGAAAATTGTGTTTAGAAATCAAAATCTAGGAGCTAGGTGTGGGTTTATTTGATTTTAAGTCCTCTCTGTGGACAAAGCTAAGGAAACAAAATATATTTACGCAGACTGAGAAATGTGATTTTTAGCCTACTTCTGGAATATAAACACTCCTACCAAGATCAATTTCAGTTACCAATGATTTGTCAACCATCTCACAAAATTCCTGAAGATGTAACAGTTTGTTCTAGACACCAGGGATGAGCTAACTCCAGCATAGCACTATAACTATATCTATGTCTACAACAATTTCTATCCATCTATCATCTATCTATCTGTCCCAATACAATCTTCTGTGATAAAGGAAATAGTCTGTCATTTCACCATTCAGTGCACTAACCTCTAGACATAGGTGACTGTTGAGCGGCAGACATGTGATTGGTGCCACTGAAGAATAATTTTAAATTGTATACCATTTTGATTAATTAAAATTTGAATTTAAATAGGCACATGTTTCTAGTGGTTATTGTATTGGACAGCAGAGTGTCAAACTTTGAGATTATAGTCCATTTCCAACTCAATATCATGGGGCTCAGGGTGAATGAAAAAAGAATCGGAAAGTTAAATTTACACACAGTAAAATTACACACAGCAGCATCACAGTAACCATCATTCATAAATTATAACTCTGTAAACCTTTCCCGCACTCAATTCATGTCACTTTTGGTTATGAGTTGCATGGTTGAGGTGGGCACCATATTTATTTCAGGGGCCTAGGTATATAAAGGTCCTGGTCTAGTCCTGATCAGACAAGCTAATGCCTGGCCATGCTTAGCTTCTCACAGGAGAAAATCAAGAGGGAGGACAACTTGTAATCATACGGTCGCCTCTATTTTAATTCATCAAACAAGAATCTATCCCCACTCTCCTAGCTTTTTACTATCTCTGTAGGTTCTGTACATCCTGAAATAGTCCATTTAGCAAAACTGAATTCTAGATCTTCAATTACCTGATTCCTTTCAAATATATAATCCATGCTTTCTCAAACTAGGCTGTGCACACAAACCACCACATCCCATGAAAGTTCAGGTTTTAAAACTTTTTTTTTTAAGAGACAGAGTCTCACTCTGCCACGCAGGCTGGAGTGCAGTGGCATGCTCCCAGCCACCCCTACCTCAACCTGCTGGGCCCTGGTGATCCTTCCACTTCAGCCTTCCAAGTAGCTCAAACTACAGACACGTGCTACCCCACCCAGATTATTTTTTTATTTTTTGTGGAGACAAGGTCTCACTATGTTGCTCAAAACAAAGCTTTTATAGAAAAATGTTAAAGGAGAGAGTGTATCTCCCCTCTTTTCTGTCAATTCTAATCTGGTGGTGTTCTGTCAATTTTAATCTGGTGGTATTCCATAAGTCACCAGATTTCTCTTCTTGAAATAATTTAAGACCTGCGAAGGAACAGCAGCTGTCTTAAGTGATAATATCTATGGAAAATGGACTGGATTAGCCAAGCAGCTTCCAAAGAAATATATATATCACCATGATTACCTCCCATTTATAGCCTAGTCTCATGGGAGGGTACTGATCAGGGCTGCCGAAGAGGATAAATCAATTCATTCCAATTAGGCTTGGTGACTTTACCAATTGCACTTTGAGAATCAGACTGGAATTACTTTGAAAAGAGATTATCTCTCTTCTCCTCTTTATTTAAACCAAAGCCTCTGTCAGAAGTGGATGGAAAATATGTTTTGGCAGCCAAGTCAGTGGTAATTGTGCAGGGTAGAATGCTCACAATTTTGCAGGCTTTGCCATAAAGACACAGACAGCCAGACTCAAGTGAATACATCAGAGCATTCAAGCAAACTGCAGCCCTGACCCCTAGCCTGGTTTCAGCCAAAAGGCCTCCTGCTTGAATTCTCCTTGAGCCCAGATGTGCCATGTTTGTCCACATACGCATTTCTGAATGGGAGAAGACAGACAGGTGTTGAAGAAAAACTTTAATTAAACCTGGTTCTTCCCCTTCACATCTGTGTAGTTTGGTGATCCAGTCTTTATATCCATTCCAGAGGCTTCCAGGAAAGGCCAGAGAGAGGAGATTCAAGCAGAAAGGAAGATGTTCCTTACACCCAGGGCTGGAGCAGCTCTCAAGTTCAGGACATGTAAATTCTCATTGCATGTCTGCCAGCCGCCGGGCCCCCAGAATAAAGATAATGGTCAGGTTCAATTTTAAAAAGATGGGGAACAATTATAATGCTATAAGAAAGCAATTGGCAGTAGTGGAAAACTGTCAGGGGAGGAAGGGTGAGACTGGCAGTTGAGGGAAACTGCTAGGGGAGGGAGGGGCATGCCTCATCAACAAGGGTACCTGCATGATCAGCGTTTGTACACCTAACCCTGAATTATACCCCACATCTTTAGAATAAAAAATAAATTTAAAAGATGGGGGGGAAAAAAGAAAGTTCAGGTTTTGATTTGTTAGTTTGAGAGCAGGGTTTGGGATTCCGCATCTCTAACAAGCTCCCAGACGCCCATGATGCTACTGGTCCAAGGACCACACTTTGAGGAGCAAGAAGTTATCTGTAGCCCAATATCATTCCCTTAAGTTCCCTCAAACATGTTTATAGGAAAGATCCTTAATTTTTTTCTACAGGTAAGCCTTAGCGTGGCAAACTCTCTCACAGTTTGCCAAGCTACATCGTGGCTAGAAAATTTTAAATGTTTCCTGGGGAAAATGCTAGCCCATATTTTACCTATAGCTAAAGCACTCTCATGACCATTCAAAGCCAGGCCCATAACACTGAGTATGTGTAGACAGAATATCTTCTCTGGAAATTACCCAGCTATGCTGGAGTGGGATGGCATGATGAGGAGTGAATGCCCCACAATCCTCTAGGCCTTGGGAAACACTGGATGGAAATACTTTTGTCTTTTTCTAGCTCTACAAGTTTGGACATCAGAGTGAAAACCACCACCAGTATGACTCTGAAGTACTTTAACGTTTCATTTCTGAAGGATTTGGGAGCTTCATGTGGATTACTAAGCACCTAAACCGTGATGTTCTACATTGACCCGCTTTGCCTAAATTGTCTTTCCTCTCCTTGCAGGTCTGTCTGATCTGGAGCTCATGGCCCAATCAATTATCATTATTTTAGGTGCCTATGAGACCACTACCATTGTTTTTTCCTTCATTATATATGAACTAGCCACTCACCCTGATATCCAGAAGAAACTACAAGAGGAGATTGATGCAGTTTTTCCCAATAAGGTGAGTGGATGGTCCCTGGAGAGGGAGAGAGGACCTGAGACCTTAGCAAGAATGACTCCTCACCTCTTCTCAGGGGAATTTTTGCAAATAAGTGTAAACATCAACTCGTTCACCAACACTATGTAGGAAGACTCCAAAATGACAAAGGGAGAAAACACAGATAATGAGTGCTTCTCACAGAACTGTAAGGTCCTCGTAAAACAGTGCTGTTCTCATGCATCCATTATCTGTTACCACAATAATACTAAGTAAAAAAAAAATCAGAAAACCTCAATGGCATCTAACAATAAGCATGTATTGCTCATGTGTCTGGGTAGTTAGCTTTGCTGATATTGGCTGGACTTACTCTGGTATGGCCATTTTCTAACCAAACCTGGCCTTGAGTACACTGGGCAGGCTGACTCGGCTTTGTTCCACCGCTGCCTCAGGCTTCAGTCATGCAGCCAAGCAAGGAAACAGGATGTCTGACTCCTGGACCAAACTCTTGACCTCTACAATATCACCTCCCAAATATATCATCAAATGTTAGCTACGTGTCACCCACACTGTTTTGGGATTTCTGTCTAAACTGGAATCTTTTGTGGTGTGAAGAGATGGCCTCTGGGGCTGACCCTGATTTGGCAGTGAGGTGTGCACAAAGAGATCTTCAGAGACTAAAGTCAAGCCCTGAAGCAACAAGTAGGAGACTGTTCCAGCAATAAAGGAAGGGACTGAGTATGGGGTTTCTATCCTCCTCATAACTTTCACTAGAACTGAAATTGCATGCCCGGTATCCTCTGATCACAAATTTCCTTTACCATATTTAGTATTAAAAGAAGCTAGTTTATCCACAAATTATTTATATAGTATAGTGTTTCTCTACACTATATATTTAGATAGACAGACAGATAGGTGATAGATAGATAGAGAGATAGATAGATAGATAGATAGATAGATAGATAGATAGATAGACAGACAGATATATGAGAGAGAGAGATACCAAGCAAAATTTTCAAAAAAAAAAGCTTTATGTGGAACAGGGGACTTGCTCTTTTACATGTTCTCTTCCCTAGATACAGACATATGGCCTCTCTTGAAAGGTGTCAGTGACTTTGGCAAACTTTACTTGATTCTAATGGTCATAATCTATTAGTCACATTTGTTCACATGAAAAAGAAAAAACTACCTGTTGATGCTAAGTATTCCACTCCCTGGGGAGGGAATTGTCCCAAATTCTTCCAAATTTATAACTCCTCCAGACATCTCAGTGGACCACTGAAAAAGATCAAAAGACATGATAGCTCTTAAACTGCCTTATAAATGCTAAGATCCGTTACCAATATGGGTTACTCTCTGGAGCTCCTAATACTTCAGGAGTACTGCATGACTGGGTTGGATGTTAATTCCAAATCTCAATTTATCCCAACCCGTTTCTTTCTTCCCAGGCACCTGCCATTCACGATGCCCTAGGACAGATGGCATATCTTGACATGGTGGTGAATGAAGCTCTCAGATTGCACCCAGTTGCAGTCAGAGTTGAGAGGGTCTGTAAGAAAGATATTGAAATCAATGGAGTGTTCATTCCCAAAGGGGCAGTGGTGATGTTGCCAATCTATGCTCTTCATCGAGACCCACAGTACTGGACAGAGCCTGAGGAGTTCCGCCCTGAAAGGTACAAGACCCTGGGAAGGCAGTTCATCCTAAACCAGGGTTGTTCAAGCATATTCTGACATCAGTTAATGTACTTAACAGTCATGTGATTGTGCCATCATATGCTTGTAAGTTTTTTTTTATTTTTAGAGCTTTTTTAAATTACAAAAGTGATATCTGTCGAAACTTACAAACTGTAGACTAGATAAAAAAACTATAACCATCCATAGCTCTCACTCCTTAAGAGAATCATCATTATTAATGTGATGTATGTTCTCACGGACATTTTCTGTGCATATATAGATTTTTATGTTTTTTTATTAACATGTCATACTGTACATATTTATGGGATACACCTTAAGCATATAGTGCTTCTTTGTTGTGAGGACATTCAAAATTCTCTCTTCGAGCCATTTGAAATATATAAAGCATCGTTTTTAGCTATAGTCACCCAATTGTGTAATACAGTACCAGAACTTATACCTTCTTTCTAACTTTGTACCTGCTGACCAACCTTTTCCCATTTCCCCTACTCCCATTTTCTTTAGTATCTGATAATTATCATTCTACTCTAAAATTCTATGAGATCACCAGAATTTATCCCTTCAATCTAGCTGTAATTTTGTATCTCTTAACCAATCTGTGGCTATCCCCATCTCTACCCTGCCCTTCCGAGCTTGTAGTAATCACTCTTCTACTATTTCTAGGATATCTACTATTGTAGCTTTCACATATGTGTGGGAATGTGCAATATTTGCCTTTTTGGGCCTGGCTCATCTTACTTAACATAATGTCTTCCAAACTCACCTATGTTGCTGCAAATGAAAAATGTTGTTCTTTTTATGGCTAAGTGGTATTCTATTTTTACTACTCTATTCTACATTTTCTTTATCCATTCATCTACTGATGGACTTTTAGACTGATTTCATGTTTTGATTATTGTGAATAGTGCTGCAGTAAACATGGGAGTGCAGATGTCTCTTGGACATACTGATTTCCTTTCCTTTGGGTATATACCCAGCAGTGGAATTGCTAGATCATATAGAAGTCCTATTTTTTTAGTTTTTTGAGGAACATTCAGACTGTTTTTATAATGGCTTTACTAATTTACATTTCTACCAAGAGTAAACAGGAGTTTCTCTTTTTCTGCATCCTCACCAGCATTTGTTTTGTTTATTTTTTTGTTTTGTCCTTCTGATAATGACTATTTTAACTGGGATGAAATGATATCTCATTGTGGTTTAACTGGGATTTTTCTGATGAGTAACGATGTAGAGTATTTTTTCATATACTTGTTAGCCATTTGTATGTCTTCTTTTGAGAGATGTCTAGTCAGATCATTTACCCATTTTTAAATCATATTACTTGATTTTTTAAATCTGAGTTATTTGAGTTCCTTGTGTATTCTGAATATTAATTCCTTGTTCAATAAATAGTTTTCAAATATTTTCTCCTACTCTGCTAGCTCTCTCTTCACTGTGCTGATAGTTTCCTTTGCCTTGTAGAAGATTTTTAGGTTGCATTAATTCCACTTGTCATTTGCTTTTGTTTTCTGTGCTTTTGAAGTATCCTCTATAAAATCTTTGCCCACACCAATGTCCTAAACCTGAAATATTTCCCCTATGTTTTCTTCCTATAGTCTCAGAGGCACAGGCCTCGCCATTTTTAATATTCTATTTGTTGTATTTTACTTTATTATAGAGATGTAGGTTACAAGTCAGGATTAGCTACACAAGTAGGGTGCATGCAACTGAAGTCTGGGCCTCCAGCCAGTACTCACTTCCCCTGGTTTGCGACCAGGTACTCTTTGTGCTGTTACGTACGTGCCCTGGCAGTGTGCAGTGACTGCCAATCCCTCCCTTGCACTAATGTGATCAAAGTTCAGGTCTCACTTAGGAGTGAGAACCTGTGGCATTCAGTTCTTTGTTTCTGTGACAGATCACTAAGTGTGATGGTCTCCAACTTCATCCAATTTGGTGAAATCCATGGTTTTGTTCTTCTTTATGGCTGTATAATACTCCATTGAATATATGTACCATATTTTTTCATCCAGTCCACTTTTGATGGACAGTAGAGTTGGTTCCATGTGTTTTGCTAGTGTGAATAGTGCAGCTATAAACACGTTGTGCAGCTGTTTTTTTTGGTAGAATGTTTTATGTTCCTCCAGGTATGTTCCCAGGAGAGGTACTGCTGGGTTGAATGGAAGGTCAATTTTTAGTTTTCAAAATCACCACACTGCTTCCCATAGAGGATGAACTAGTCTGCACTCCAACCAACAGTGTAGAAGTGGTTTTTTCTCCACAGCCTTACCAACATTTGTTGCTTTTTAATTTATTAATGATGGCCATCCTTACTAGGGTTAGGTGGTATCTCATTGGAGTTTTTATTGGAATTTCTCTGATTATTGAGACTGAGCATTTTTTCATGTATCTTTTGGCTACTCATAACTCTTCTTTTGAAACATATCTGTTCATGTCCTTTGCCCACTTCTCAATAGGGTTGTTTGTTTTTCCCTTTCAGCTTGTTTGCATTCCTTGTAGATTCTGGATGATAGGCCTTTGTCAGATACAAAATTAGCAAAAAAATTTTCCTATTCTGTTGGTTGTCTCTCTGCTCACTTGATGGTTTCTTCTGCTGTGCGAAAGCTTTTCTGTTTGATAAGGTCCCACTTGCCGAGTTTGCCTTTTATGGCATTCACTTTCAAGGATTTGGTCAAGAATTGGTTGCCTACTCCATGTGCATAAGGATGTTTCCTACATTTTCTTCTAGGATTCTTATAGTTTGAGGTTTTATGTTTTGTTCTTTGATCCATTTTGAGTTGATTTTTGTATATGGTGATGAGTATGGTCCAGGTTTATTCTTCTGCATGTGGTCAGCCATTTTTCCCAGAACAATTTGCTAAATATGGTCTCCTTTCCCCAGTGGTTGTTCCTAGTGGCTTTGTCAAAGATGAGTTGGCTGAGAGAGTGAGATTTTTGCAACCATAATCTCTGTCCTGTTCCATTGGTCTGCGTACTTATTCTCGTACCAAAACCAGAATGTTTACTGTAGCCTTGTAGTAAAGCCTAAAGTCTGGAAGTGTGATACCTTGCACTTTGTTACTTTTGCTGAGGATTATTTTGGCTATCCATGTTCTTTTCTATTTCCATATGAATTTCTGTATTGTCATTTCCAGATCTGAAAAAAAAACGAAGCTTGTAATTTGATTTGTATTGCATTGAATCTCTAAATTGCCTTGTGTAGGATGGACATCTTGACAATATTTATTCTTCCAATCCATGAGCATGGAATGTTTTCCATTTGTTTGTGTTATCCTTAGTTTCTTCAAGCAGCATTTTGTAGTTCTCATTGTAAAGGTCTTTCACTTCTCTGGTTAGGTGGGTGCCAAGGTATTTCACTTTTTTATGGCTATTGTGAATGGGATTGTGTTTTTTTATTTGGCACTCTGTGTGCTTGTAGTTGGTGTATAGACATGCAACTATCTTTTGCATATTGACTTTGCACTGCGAGACTTTACCAAAATCAATTATGAGTGTGAAGAAGGTTTTGACAGACTACCTAGGGTTTTCAAGATATGGAATCATGTCATCTGCAAAGAGGGATAACTTAACTCCCTCTTTTTCTATTGGATATCCTTAATTTCTTTCTCTTGCCTGATTGCTCTAGCAAGGACTTACAACATTATGTTGAACAGGAGGGAGAAGCATGGACATCTTTGTCTAATTCCCATTCTTAGGAGGAATGCTTCCAATTTCTGTCCATTGAGCAGTATTTTGGTTGTGGGTTTATCATAGATGGTTCTTGTTATTTTGAAAATGTACCTTCTATGCCCAGGTACTCAAGAGTTTTTATTCAAGAAGGAATGCTGGATTTTGACAAATGCTTTTTCTGCATCTAATGATATAATCACGAGGTTCTTTTTATTATCTTTTTGTGTCCTTATTATGTTTATGATCTTGTGGATATTGAACTATCCCTGCATCCCAGAAATGAAGCCCACCTGGTCATGGTGGATGATGCTTGAGATGTGTTGTTGGATCCGATTTGATAGAATACTGTAGAGAATTTTTGCATCTGTATTCATCAAGGAGATTGGTCTGTAATTCTCTTTCCTTGTTGGGTCTTTTCCAAGTTTGGATATCAATATAATGTTGGCTTCAGAAGATGAGTTGGGAAGTATTCCATCTTTCTCTCTTGCCTAGTATACTTTCAGAAAGATTGGTATCACTCCTTCTTGTGTGTCTTGTAAAGTTCAACTGAGAAGCAATCAGGTCGAGGACATTTTTTGGTATTTAGATTTCTTATTACTGAGTTGATTTCTTGGATTGCTATTGGTCTATTTAGAGTTTCGATTTTTTCTTGTTTCCACCTTGGGAGGTTATGTGATGTCAATTAGTGCTCCATTTCCTTTAGGTTTTCTAGTTTATTTGCATACAGGTTTTTGTAGTAATCTCTGATAATCTTCTGAATATCTTTAGGGTCAGTTGTAACTTCACTTTTTGCATTTCTAATTGTGTTTATCTGGGGTTTCTCTCTCTTTTTTATCAGTCAACCTGGCCAGGGGACAATCAATCTTTTTTTTTTTTTTTGAGTTGGAGTCTCACTCAGTCACCCAGGCTGGAGTGCAGGGCACACTCATGATCACCCTAACATTGACCTGCTGGGCTCAGGCAATCCTTCTGCCTCAGCCATCCAAGTAGCTGGAACTACAGGCATGCGCTACCATGCCCAGCTAATTTTTTTATGATGATGATTTATTGTAGCAACAAGGTCTCACCAAGTTGCCTGGGCTGTTGTTGAACCCACGGGCTCAGGCAATGCATTTGCCTCAGCCTCCCAAAGTGCTGTGATTACAGACCAAGCCACTAAGCCCAGGTGGGACCATCAATCTTATTTATCTTTGCAAAGAACAGTTTTTGGTCTTGCTGATTCTCTCTATGATATTTCACCTTCTATGTCCTGTAACTCTAATTTTATCTTGGTGATATGGATTCTTCTGCTGAGGTTAGGAGGCAAGTGATC